CGTTACATAAGGCTGCACATAAAAACACACAGAAAGGGATGGAAATCAGGTACACCTGAAAGGACCCGGAAGCTCGTACAGGGAGCCAAACGGTCGGCTTTTTGTGGCTGTTCACTTGCAGCAAGAGTTTGAGTTGAATGCCGAGCTCCGGTTTGAAATCTTCTCAATGCTGCTCGGCTTCTGGCAGCTTGGTCGTAGCTTCTGAGGGTGTTATGCAGGAGCAGCTACTGAACCCTGACACTACTCGCCTCACGACGAGATGAAGAAAAAGCTGAGAATTTACAGAGGATATCCAGTTAGCCAACCTGATGTCAGCTGGTTTTTGTGTAGAGTATAGTCTGGCCCTGTGGAGTTTCTGTAGTCAGATGTGATGTAAAGAAATTACATGAATAATCTGTCTTAATTTAACCTAAATAAGATGGGATGCAACAATCTTAGACTTAATCTGTACATCACGTGCGACCAATATGTAAATGCAAAAGATCTATAGGTATCCGTCCTCAAAGAGACCAATAATTGTTAAATTAACATTTCCATACTTTCCCATACAAATTTGGTCACTTCTGGGTCCATAGAAAACCCGCTGGTAAATGGCCAGATTATGAACTCCAAAAAAAACAGCAGCTCATAAATGGCAGCTTGGAATTTTTTTTCTTCTTTCAAAATCCCCATGGTTCCCACACCTCAAAATACCACTAGATATTATGTCATCTCCATCACATATGCAGCAATTATGCAAATGATCTGAAAACAAGTGTAGAGTTGAGAAAAGACAGAGCTGAGGCACTGGAAATCATCGGTTTATTGAATTGGCCATTCTCTATCCATTTGCTATAAATATACACATGGAACAAACTAGTCCTCCAATGTGAATTCTTTAAGTGCATGTAATTGACCCAATAAAGCGCTTCTGATCTGTTCTTGTACCCTGGAAGGCAGCTCGGTGACCTTGTGGCATAGCATTATCAAAGGCTGGAACCAAAGGAGCCGCTCCCTGTGCACTTTGACGCCTTAGGGCTGAGGTACACAGTCGAGCTTGGCATGCAGCATTTTAAACAGCAGTGGATCTCAACAGGCGTTTTTTCTCGCAGAGAGAACAGAGCTCGGGGCTACATGAAGGTGTAAAGCCTGTTCTTGCCTTCAGCGCAGACTGAATGATGATATAAGCAGATCAAAGACCAGGGGGGAAAAAGAACATTTTCAGATTTAGGATGACTTTTCGAAACCGATGTGAAGTTTAACCCACCAAACTCTAGACTGCTGTTCCCTGCCTCCGATCATCCCTCAAAATGACATACTGCAATCTGAAGTTTTTCGGTGAGCAGGAAGTCTCTCTGGAAAATCCATGAGTAAGTGTTAATGTTGGCCAGAATCCTGCAGCCGAAAGACTATAAATTTACAGGGTACAAGTGCAAGCTTATTTATATAGCACCTCAACATGCACAGAGCGGAGGGTATTGAAATTTACTGCTCCTCTATGGGGCCCACATAACACTAACCCTTTCCCTGTGGTGAACGTCTGAATTGACTTCCACGTTGGTCCTAAATGTACAGCGGCGACCTGTAGGGCTGGTAAAACACTTTGAGTGTCTGTAGAATGTTGTGATATAACAGGAACTACTGATGGTCCGAAGAAAAAGTCCTTGGCTCGGACTTCTCGAAGTTACTTGAAGGATCTTGGAAACGGCGAGCTGCCTAAGAAAAAGCAACTGTGTGTAGCCGGCCAGTATTAGGTTTGGAGGGGAGCTGTGTGTCGGGAGCCAGATTGGTGCTGATCCAACAGGGCTCTAGTCTGTCTGCTGCATGACTCGGTCCGTCTGCGCCCCCCCCCCTTCCCAAAAAAACCCCTTCAGCTATGTGTGTAAAACTATGTGTGTAGGCCGGTGTGCAAGCATGAGATTAGTTTGCACTGTATCTGTGACAAAGGTAAGTACATTTCTGCGCGGTGCTGAAGATTATGAAGTTAACATCTGTGTTTGAGTGTATTTCCATTTGCGTTTGCAAGTAAAAAAAAAAAAAAAAACAATCTCAAAAACATGTCGCTCTTTCCATGCCTCTGTCCTCTCTCTGACCCGGCTCAACATTGCACAAATCATAAGATGGTTTCATGCCAGACGAGCGGATGAGTGGACGAGGGGTAGAAAGAGGGTATGAGGTTACATCCACATCATTCCGATGAATGTAATGAACCGAAAATGAACTTAAAAAAGGCAAATGAGAGACCCTGCACAACCTGCTGTTTTCTTCAAATGAGCTGGATTCTGAAAAGAGTTCCAAGTACTGGGAAAAGTCATACAGGACATACACAGCGTACCTCACATTCATTCGACATAAAAAACTCACAATTAATTCACAAACCTCCTGCTCTAAGTTTTCTACTAGCATCCATTCATCAATGCAAAGTTTTAAAATTACTGTTGCTGCCAGCAAAAAGGTACCTCACGTCACACGAGGGGCTTTATCTTTATCCCATATCCACATCTGTTATCCGAGGCAAGGCTTACGAGGGTTCACAAGGCGTTCAAGTCCATCTTGCAAACAGGTAAATTAGTATTTATTTCCATCAGTTGGCCAATTTTAGTCCCAGATTTGAAAGTTTTGGTTCAGATATGAATAATGAACAGCACCTAAACCTAATACTAAAGGTGGGGGGGATGGAATGTTTTCACATTTTACAGTGTGACCAAATCTGTCTTTCAAAGAACGTGAGATAACACCAGAAATTCAACTTCTATTAGTAAACTAATTAATCAAAATTTTGATCGGTGGACGTCACCTCAAAATATATCCCACTTAAAGGTGATCTGCATGTTTTCTTTAAACTAAAACTGAGCACATCGGGGAAAAAATCGGGAAAAAACACTGATTCTACTATTTCTTTTATCTGCCCTCGAGGACTGTTTTATTAAGATTATGACAAGAAAAAGAAAATGTTTTTTGAAAACCACAACATCGCATGGTCAGTCCAAATCAGAACCCACAAAGGTTTAGAGAAACGTCCAAGTGTTTTTGTGGGCTGGAAGATTTCCCTGATGGGTCATGTGAGTCCTCCGATTTGTGATGTGTGTCAGCTTAGTCAGATTAGCTGTAAATCGACAGACACAAAGATACAAAAAGGCCTCATGTTGTCTTTAAGCTTTTCTTTTCGATATTATCACTAACTGGATGGTGAATCTAGGTCTGCTTGCGTCAATTTTGTGTATACGTATATTTTCCCGTCATTCTTCAGCTAGTTGCAGAACTTCCTCTTCGCTCTTTTCAAACACAATGAGAGCTCAATGAGGCTTTGTGGAAAGAAAGCAAACAGTACAAGTGTAACTTGCTGCCAAAGAAAACTATGTTCCTCCTCCTTGCTGAACACAGTGTTCCGACACAGTTCACCTGATACCTGCCTCTTCCAAATCTACAGCTGCCCTCTATCCGCACAGAATTGTCAAAAAGTTGATGTCCAAATCCCTTCTTTCTCACTCCTAGTCTAGCCCCCGCCCATCAATTCCATAAATTTCTCTTCCTTAAATCCTCCCTGTCTGCACTCCATCCTTGCGAAGCCTGAGTAATGAATGCCAACGCAATGGGCGAGGAGGCCGTTTCAAACATATGTCAGCTAGTCATAATCAAAACTTTCCCTTGCTCTCCCCCCCCCTTCTTAAGTAGACTGTTTCATAAGTGTGCTTTTCTGTTCTGCTCAGAGGGCCTCCTGGGTGTGGAACCGCTGACCTGCTGGGCCGAGTGTGCTGCCAAGTCTTTACTGTGAGAGAGAGCGAGGGAGAGCAGAGGGCAGGACACAGGACGGCACTGTGCCATCGGACGCTCTGCCAGCTTTGGCTGCAGCACCAACGAACCACCGAGGGGCGAAAGACTGACTGCAACTGTTTGACTGGAGTGGTTTTAAATAGGAAAACATACAGGAGGAAATGAGAAATGAAAAGATACTTTTTAACACCTGCTGTTCCCCTCCCTCCCATCACCTTAAGAGCTCCCCCTGAATAAGGTTAGATTCCCTCTGCCAACTGTAATCTTTTTATCTTTGTTTTCTTTTCAGGCCTTCAGATCTCGGGCCTCCCACTGAAATCCTCTGTTTAACCTGTTTTATTTCAGCCTTGTCCTCCTTTGAGTCTGAATCAACAGAGAATTTTATTCTAACGTTAAAAAAAACTTTCAATCATCAAATTACTACTTTAAGCCAACACTGAATGGAAATGAATAGTTTAGGAGGATCTGTATGTAAGTGGCACTGATTAGAATTAGAACATTACAGTTTCTTTTTACCGCTCCAGTGGGTATGTAGTGGCGAGAGGCTTTGTCAAATCCACGACAAAACCCTTTTTTAACCACAATGTCAGTTTCCTGAAGTATTTGAGTATAATCTCAACATGAAGCTGACGCATTCAAAGGAAACAAATCACAGGCAGAAACTTTCCCCAGTGACTTTTACAACAACGCAATATAATCAGATTACTGTTATTCAAGCAGTACCATTAGGGCAAGATTCTGTAGTTAATTAGACTGAAGATCATTTTGACTTGTGTTTCTTTCAAAGTGCAGCTAATAGTTAATTTCATGATGGAACAATGTGCTGACTATATTCTCAGTAAGCCCGTCCATTGTTTGGTTTGTAAACAAAACAGAAACTAATTCCACTATAATCACTTGAAATGATGTTTTAAGTGGTTGCCAACTTTCCGTCCAGAAACTCGTTGCTTCAGCTGTTGCTCTATACGCTGCTTAGTAGGTTCCCTCACTGAAACACGTTCTGTGTAGACTGTGTAACTCCTCAAAGAACTAAGTAAATAAAAAATCAAATGTGTCTTTCTCACTCAAAATGTAGAGGGCTTTTTAAATGTTTAAGTTCTTTTTTTCTCCCTTTTGTTCAATTAATTTTAACTTGAGTGCAGCACTAATATGTATGTATGAGTTTTACTCATCTAGTTTGTTTTCTGCGTAAATTAGACAAGAGTCAATAGTCTCAGTAGAGTTCCATTCTTTATTGACAGAAATACCTATGGCTTGTCAGATTTGTTCCCCTCCTCGCTGATAATCAGAAAAGAAAAAAGGATCTAGACCACTCTCAGTCTCTTGAATAAGCAATGGAGCTGGATCAGGCCATAGAAGCTGGCCTGGTTGAATTTAAAAGGTAAAAAAACCCCCAAAAATAAATAAACATCTTATCCTCACCAACTGACATGTTTGGATTGAGGAAACCTTTTTTGGCTGGTTGACGAAAGTGCATTTTTTGTTGAGACAGCAAACAAACCCCAAAACTGTAGTATTTAAAATATGATTTTTTAATGGTTTGATCATATTGGCAGTTTAATGACAATCTGTGTGAACAATGGTTAAATATACACCGGACAAAAATCAATGCAACGTTTAGCTGCTAGCTCACAATATCCAATCCCTGTGACACACATCACTCTAACATGTAGCTCGCTGATTGGATGAGTGACTTCTTTGTGTGTGTTGTGTGTGTGTGTTGGGTGGGTGGGTAGGGGGGAGCGCACTCAGGAGAAGAGCACAGAAATGGAGAGAGCTCACCAGTGCATTAGGGACAGCACGGTGCAATTCGTTCCATTGGCAGCACTTCAAAGAGGAAAAGGAGGGGGATAATCCACCCCAACATTAGCCCACGGAATCTTCCACAACCACCGCAAACATGCACACTCACAAACACAACACACGTTCACAAAAGCAGCGGGCCGCAGGGTTCGGTCCCGGGGTCTGACTGGGTTGGGGTCTTGGGAGATTGAGGGGATTTTTCAATTTGCCCAAAAAATGAAAAATGGGGGGGGGAAATAGACGACTGAAACACACTCTGCACTTGACACGCAAACACAATGTTATGCACACAATACACGCCCGTCTCCAGAGAGAAGACCTCACACTTCAAGCCAGAGAGTACAGACCATGACAGGGCGTGACATCTGCCCCTCGGAGCTAAATCGAGCCAAATTCCAGAACTATAGGTTAAAGATGAGTGTCAAACCTGAGAGATGGGGCTCATTCTAGCAGGTGAGCTCCAAAGAGAGGGGAAGATCAAGAGACGGGGGAGGAAGGGTGCCAAGTGAAGAAGACAGATGAAGTGAAAGGGGAGCTCGTAAAGCATGCCGATAGCTCCTAGCATCAGCAGCAGTGAGCTGTCAACACCGGCTGGGCCGATACGCGACCGAATGGGGATCAATCCTCCTTATGGGTGACCTGCCAGAGCCAAAAGCGATCAATCCTGCTTTCTCTGTCCGATATATTCAGCCACTATGAGAGGAACGTCCCCGGATTTGGAGTTTGGACGACTTTAGTTCAACACGCCTCGTGTCACACCTCGATGACACATATTTTGCAGTGGAAGGCATTAGCGGCAAATGTCACAAAGTTTTGATCAACGCCACAGTATCTCAGCTATCATCAGAAATCAGCGCAGAACACACATTCAGTGACTGCGAAGAGCAATTTCTATGAGGGGAAGGCGAGATAAGCCAACATCATTTTGGACCCGCTATTGATGAGCAGGTCAGCATATGAGTGTTGTGTGTCATCTTCTGAACCTCTTGTTTTTCCTGTTTTCTTTAAGTGGCCCACGGGGCCCACTGCTCACGCGTGCACACGTTTAAGAGTAAGAGCTCAAAACTGAGCCTTCCCCTCAGCATTGACGCGCTCTGAAGTGCTATAGCACAGACATCGATAATTGGCAGTCCAGAGGGAGGCGGGTTAGAGAGTCAATGGATACACCTACTGGTCTGGAGGTTAGCAACGTCTGCAAAAATCAATTGACCAGACCCACTGCAGATCAGAGTGCTATAGCTACAGTTACACGTGTCCATAGACATAAAACAGGTGCCTCTCAACTAGACTCTCATCGCTTTATTAAAACACTAACATAACTCTTTGTAAGAAGTAACACCTGCCACGAGGTAGAATTTTTTTTAAGTCTCTCATTTCATTTTCAGGAATAAGGGATTATTCATTTAAAACCCAAATGAACCCTGAGGGGGATGCTGGACCACACAACCAGTCTCTCCAGTCCAGACTAGATTTCGCCTCATTATTTTCTGTGTTTGTGTCTCATTCTTTCAGTTTGGTGCAGAATTTTGTGTCACTCGGCCGATACTCAGCCGCCCAATTACCTGAAGGTTGTTCGGAAACGAGCCAAACTAATCAGCCCTGATGAACTGCATGCGGGCGAGGCATTCCAATTACACCGTGTCGAATCACATACCGAGGAAATGAAGGAAGAGGTATTAAAGGAGAAGCACTTTGTTTCTGTGAATGCCCGCTAAGAGATAGCACATCGGAAACCGGCTACAAAGGTTTCCGAGTTCGGTAGCTTTGGCATCCGGAAGAGAAAACCACAAGATACTTATTTTAGATTGTGACGATTCTAAAATTTTGTCTGAATGTTAATACCTGGAAGCAGTCCTGCTCTCCAAACCACCGTTTACTCTATCTCACTGTACTACGGTTGCAGAAGATGTTTGGCTTTAGGCTCTTTTCTCTGCAACTAATTGGGTATTCTGGATGGCGGGGCCGGAAAGAAGTTTTCGGAGAAGCAAATGTTAATCAAATGTCGACCAGTACAAAAACAGGGCTTAGTAATTAGCATTTATCTTTGAGCTAAGCGAGTAATAGCGGTGGGAGAAAGCTTCACCATTCTGAAAAACCACACAAGCCTGTGCTGTTCTGCTTTGCCATTAAGCAGAATGTCTAAGTTTTATGGGTTATGTAAGCCCGGTGACGCCCCGTTATTTAGCTACATCACTGCCTGGTTGTAGAGAAACCACCACAACTGAACTCACCAACAAAGTGCATATGTACAAATGTTTAAACTGGGGAAGGTCCTGCTGGCCAGTCAAACACATATGCAGCTTGGTATAAATAAACTCCAAAGATGCCATCACAAGACCAATGGCATCCTCACCGTAATCGACCGACACACTCCAATTCAAAGCATCTCTTTGAATGGCTGGTTCATACAGGTTCATATATTTTTCTCCTGGGAACAGCGCATTGCTGCTGAGGATGGTGTTCTTTGTTGTCCCTTAAACTGCAGAGTTTCTATGGAAAGCTATCAGAGGTGGTGCACGTTTCAGTGCGTGTTTTTGTCTGTTTTCTGGGGCTTTGGCTAACTTTGTACACAAACTCAGGTGCACAAGAAATCTCCCAATGACCGAGACCAAACAGCAACATGGAAAATGTCAGGCGGATCTCTTCCCCTTGATTTTACACCGCTGAGTTATCAATCAATCAGTCATCATTCATTCATTATATTACTGAGGCATTTCAATTAGCTTTCATCCCACAAAATATTCATTCATTTACCATTAATATTCATGGGAGTAAAGATCTACTTCATGTGATTCTGTCCATGACCCCTTTAATTAGCATTCTAAAAATTGCAAATCACCGCTGAAACTATGTCTGCATAATTATACCTCATATCAATAAATCATGTGTGTTAATATAAAAATATATACACACACACACACACACACACCCCCAAACATATAGACAACATACGTACATCCAAAACATTTAAAGCTGTCGGGTTGTGTCACTCACCCTCTCCAAGTCCTGTCTGAGGTGTGTGAAGAGTTTGAGTCGTCTGTACAGGACGTCCTGCTCCTGCTGGGCCAGGTTGTCAACTTCATCCCTCTTTAAAGTCACCAGAGGCTGATTAAAGTTGGCCTTCCTCTTCAACTTCCAGAACTGATATAAGAAATCCACCTTCAAACAAAAAAGATGATAAGTCTTTCCCATCACTCCCTGTTGTGTTAATCTTTTTCTCATTTCATATTCACGTTGGATATTAAGTTTATTAACTTAATTTTGTCCTAATTTACAAGGTCTCTCATGGCAAATAAACATAAGAAATGTTTAGATGTCTTTTTATGCCTTGTTTATGCGTATTAAGATGTAGCTTCTTCTCAGAAGTGATCCATCACCACAAATTCCTAGACTTCTAAACAACCGGGGTAAAAACATACTGGTCTCGTTGAGCTGTGTGACAACGCGACGGCGGGACACAATGAGACGGACCAGACTGGCATATTCCATAACGTCTTACCAGTGCGACAGATTTTCTCCCATTATGTGTAAAAGATTGAAACTTTACAATAGTGGTTGCAAAGTTGAACACAGTGCATCCAACTTACATTTTTATTACTCAAGCGGGTTTAAGTAAAAGCATGTAGACCTCTTCTTGGATCTTAAAGATGTGAAACTCTCATATCAAAGACGCCTTTAGTTCTAAGATCCTTCCTAGAAGTCCAGCTGCTTTTAGTCAAACTATAAAAAATTTCCATGACCTGAATGACTGAGAATCTACACCAGCATTCTACATGTTATTTGGACTTTATTTGACAAACAAAAGCTACCACGTTCATGCAAACAAATCATTTTTTTTCTTTTTTTTTTTTTAAGATTGTAGTGGAATTATGTCACTTGGAAACAGAATACGTCAGTGCTGTTTGTAGAATTTGGCACACAGTGGAATCCTTGATGATGGGCTTCAGTCCATCATAGAAAGTACCTTTTTATGTGTAAATCCTCACCAAGACTGCGATTTGGAATTCTCTGCTACTTGTCACTGTCTTACCAGGCACATACTTTTTGCCTCTTAGCTTGAACAAGTGCTGGCATTCAGACATCTGATAGTTGAGTCATTTCACCCACTCTGTCTTTTAACCTAGTGATTATGCTGTCTCTGAGCTGGAGTGACAGTCCAGGGGACAATATTTTTCATACAGGCGGAGGTTTTGTTCTTTCTAACAGTTTAACGTACCTGCGACTGGGGCAGCCCCAGGTTTTCGGCCACCTCCCTGGGGTCGACCAGTCTGTAAAATTCATCCTCCAGTTCCTGGAGCTTCTGCTTCCTCTGGCTCACCTTCTCCCTCTCCAGCTGGTCCCGCTCAGCCCGCTCCGAGGCCGAAACAAGGTGCGACACTGACCTCTGCCCGGGGTCACTGCTGCCGTTTGGCCCGTGCTGCTGGGCTGACCTCAGCTCAGGGGCCACGCTAACAGTGGTCCATTCGGGTCTGTCAGTGCCATATTCTCCATCGGTGGCGGTGGCGGCGGCGGCAGCGGCCTGGCTGCTGTCTCTCACATGTGTGGAACTGGACGTGTTGTTGGTGGATGTGCTGCTGATGCTGGCGGAGCAGCTGTGCTCCAGGCAGAAGGACTTAAAACGCACTTCGTCGTTCTCGGCCAGGATGGTCTTCATCTCCAGGCCGTGGTCAAAGGCGCACGTCACATGGAAGGCCACAATGCAGGAGGGCATGGAGCACTGGAAGCACAGACAGTTTTTTTTTTTTCAGAACTGCTGGACTTAAAGTCTAATTTTTCTGTCCATTTACTGTGTTGTCAAGCGGAAAGACAAGCCAAGTCACAACAAACAGAGATCCAACATCTCTACTGACAGTTTATGTAACTTGGGATGTGCTTCAGAGTGTGTATGTGTGTTTCTCAGCACTATCCATTACAGGTCATATAAAAAGACAACCTCCTTCTGAGTCCCCTCAGGCTTGGAGCGATTTTATCTTGTGGCTGTACGTGCTGCTGTCACCGTGTGTATCAGCACAACTGTGCATGGGGGGTAAGTGTGGGTGCAGGCTGATACTTGTATTTGTCAGAGGAGTTCAACATTCAGCAGGAGGGTTCTGCAGAGTGCTAGGATATGAGCAAATGGACTACAACCTGTTTGTTCCTTCATACTCTGCCATCTGGAAAACAACTCCTGTCTCAATATTTCCCCTAAACAACCTTTTCCCTCTGATTCAATACATAACACTCATAAGTAGACAGATACACTTAGCCAGCCCTTATCCTTGCAGCTCTTTATTCATAAGAGGTTATTCTAAGGTTTTCAAAAGTTTTAAGTAGGACTTCCAAAAGAAACAATCCATTCCTGGTATGTGACGTCGTAACATTTCCTAATGTGTTTTATACTAAGCCAAGACACTACATAACTTGAAATGGTCGACTAATGTCTCATTCCCATTCTCATTCTCGCCATAATTAAATTAGAAATTTGACAAGTCTTTCCCATCACTCTCTGTTGTGTATATCTTTTTCTCATTTCATATTCACGTTGGATATTTTTGCTTCATCCAACGTCAAGTCTATTAACTTAATTTTGCCCTAATTTACAAGGTCACTCACGGCAAATAAACATAAGATATGTTTAGATGTCTTTTTCTGCCTTTTTTCTGCCATATAGCTTCTTCTCAGAAGTGATCCATCACCACAAATTCCTGGACTTCTAAACAACCGGGGTAAAAACATACGGGTCTCGTTGAACTGTGTGACAATGCGACGGCAGGACACAATGAGACGGACCAGACTGGCATATTCCATAAAGTCTTTTTAAAAAAAAATCTACATCCACTGTTGTGTTACAGGAAAATAGAAACAGTTCAGAAAATCAGAGTTTCTTACTCTGAATAACATCAACCACCAAAGATCCCCCAAAAAGTTGAATGCTTGCGTGGAAAGACAAACACAGATATCAAGCCCAACTCTTAACTACAAACTGTGAAGCATGACAAACCCTGAGTAAGCACTCAGGCTTGTGTTAGACACGCGCTTCCACTTCACTTAATTGGACACTTAATTATCACTACGTAAACGGCTGCTGTTGTGGAACAGTTTGTGTTACAGACCAACCACAGCTGTAAAAGAAACTGACCCAACGCCAGCTAGACATCGCTGGGAGGAACCACTTTGTTCTCCCATCGTACTGTCTAGTTCCACAGTTTTATTTGCCTTTCTATCATCTAGTAGGTGAAATACGTGAAATGTCCTCGACGTATGCCAACTAAGCAGGATCTTGCATTCGCTAAATCACGGGATAAACCGAGTCAGGGATGGAGGAGCGCAAGGCTTTTATTCAATAATCGCATTTCTGACCTCTGTAAAACTCTTACAAAGACAGATTGTCTTATTAAAAAGTGGAGTTAGTGTAAAAGGTTCTACACCGTGGGCCCACTTTTATCACCGTACAAATGTCAGGCAAAAGCTTGCCGCAGCTGCTCTCGCTTATTTGGTGTCAAAAGGCAAAAGGTTGAACACAGCGTGGAGCCACTGAGATGTGTTGTTTGGTGTGAACCACGTCACCACACAAAAACACTCATCTGGCCTTCTGGAGAGCACCTGCTCTGATCTGGCAGCCGTTCGGCGCTTATCTCTGTTTGCATTGGAGCTTCAGCTCGTTTTTGCACAGGCTAGCTTTAATAAAGGCTCTTCAAAATGTATCATGTTGTATCTGAGGGGGGCTTTTGCATCTTTGACTGTAACCGCCTATTTAGGGTGAATCATTTCTGAAAAAAATGGACTAAAAGCAAAACACAGCCTTAAAAAGATGTTTAATTAAACTAACATTGTCAAAGAAATTATTTTTCTCAATTCACAAAAAGCAGGTGTTGAATTATTATTAACACATTCATTTTCAGTTATGGCCCTACGGGAACATGAGTTGTGCGATTTAACAATATTGATCATTTTGTTTGCAGCTTGAATGTGAATGTGTAATTTATTCAATATCTCCATTGCGAATGTGTAATTCAATATTTTTTGTGAACAGTTGCAAAGCTCTCGGTTACTGTGGATTCTCTACTGTTTGCTCCCAATAATGCAATTAATTGAAGCAGATCTGAGATGTGTCAATAAGAGGTTTTCCATCAGGCACACCCCGTGCGAGAAATGGATCTTTTTTTTTTCTTCTGCTTTTGAAACCAAATCTCATTGATTGAATGATTGTTTTGATGATTTTTTGGTTGGGTGATAGGTTACAGACACATTTTTCTGTGATTCACTTCCGCTTTACTTTGAAACAAATCTTTTTTTATGTTGGAACAGTGATTGGCTGCACAGCATGGACTCAGAGCTTAAGTACTGGCCAATGCCTGGTCACTGCTTGGCTTTGATTGAGACGCTTTCGGTTTTAGTAACAAATACACAATTGACTAATCATCCGGTGCACCTATGGCACAATAGCTGGTAGTTAGAGTTACAGAATAAAACAGATTATTCAATTAATATCTATTCTAAAAACTTTGACACACTTGATAGTTATTAGCTACATATAAAAAAGAAACACAATGAGACCTCAATAGGCATTCTGCCCTACGTATGATAATGCCTTTCACGATAAAAAAGCGGTGTTGAGGGAAAGGCTCTGAGTTATAAGAGCCTTGACACATAGATCCATGAGTTTAAGAAAAAAAGGCTCACAAATATCTTAATCTGTCGACAAACTAAACCTTTGAAAGCAGAAAAGACTTTTTCATGTAAACCACAGTGCTAACGACGGGGACCTCCTGCTGATGAGGCTTCTTCTTTGGAGCGTCAGCATCTTTACCTTCTGAGTGAGGCTGCAGCTGATCACCGAGTGTGTTTGTACAGCCTCATGCCTCCAGCTATTGAAACTTGAGAGTGAGACTCTCTCCCTGCGGGCGACTCTGGCTCAAAGGCTCACGGTTAATCTACAGCATCAATACCGTCAGAGCAAACACTCCCACGGCTGCACAAACAAGCAAGTTCACATACTGCACATCCAATATGCATGCGTACGCGCCACATATTCGTACACATGTGCCGCGTGGAGGCTCTAGGAATGAAGTTCACCTACAGGGCACTTTTAAGCCTTAGTAGTGCGCAGGTTTACAGCTGCCAGGTGGTGTTAGCAAGCGCGTCGTCTTACTTTACAACAGGTTAAAGCAGTGCTGGTTTCCTGTCGGGTAGGAGACCGACGTGTGAAATGATTTGCGTTCTGAGTTTGTTTCACTTGTGCACACAAAATCATCTTAAGTTTAAAATGCCCATACTGCAGAGGCACAGTCAATTAGTGGCCAGCAAACCGTTGTCTAAAAGTGAGGAGGGCTCAGAGTTCAAATGAGCTGGTGAGAGGAGGCAAGTTCCTTTATATGGTTGAGTGTGACGCAACAAAAATTCAGGAGTAATTTTATGAAAGGGTCAAGGAATATCTAATTGTTTCAAAAACGTTTTTCTTTTATTAGCCTGGCTAGTTAAAACCATGAGATGGGGAGCGCGCTGTCCAGAGGGTGATGAAGAAAAAGCACCTAAAGGTCTCAGCGATTGTGGCACTGTTTGGTGAGAAGTTTAAGAGGTACACACGACAGGTTAAGGCTTGCAGTTATTTTATGATGACTCAAATGCAACTCAGCAGAAAGCTTGAACTTTATCAGCCTCTTTGAAAAAGGGAAAACAAAAAGGAGCAATCTGGGACTGATGAATGCAAAAAGATACAGCTAGACCTCTGGGTGTTGAGGTCTCTTTAGAGAGTTTGAATTTTTTGTTATTCTCTCCATTCTAAGGGAAATAAATGTTTGATGTTTTCTTTGAAGTGAAAGTCTAAAAACTTTCACAATTCATATAATTCATAAAATATGGCAAATGGTAGCCCAGTGATGCATCGGAGGGCTGTTGTTAGCCCCAGAAGACCTGACAGCCTCTATGAAAAGTGTGAGGGGCAGAACAAGTTGGAAATCAGATTTCTGCAGGTACTTTGAAGCCAAACTGCGTTAGTAGGCGTTCGCGCTGCAAGTGTAACTGTTTCATGTAGCAAAGGCCTGTGAGAAATTTCGCTGTCTCCCCAGAGTTGATTTTAAATATGAAACCTCGCAGTAGAAACTTGAACCGACTTCCACACAAGCTCCAGGTGAAGCTTTGTGAACAGACTTTGCGATAATGAAACATTACAGAGGAATTCACCGATGACAGCCCAAAGTTCAATATGGTCTCTGGATGCAAATGTAAAAACAACCTGTCTCACACATTACAAATAATATGTCATAAACTCAGAATCTTTCTTTTGAACATTTCATGATGCAGGTTTGAAATGAAAGCAAAGTGCACGCAGTGATGAGGACTGATGGGACATACCTGGATGCAGGTGCCTGTGTGCTCTCGACACAGACTGCAGGACAGAGCCCAGCGGCTGGCAGGGATGTGGGACACCTTGGTAATGGGCTCCATCTTCTCTGGGCAGCCTATACTCACCTGTAGGAACCAGATAACAGGTAGAGATGCATGCATTTGAACCAATATAACCAATGCGCTTTATGACAAAACAAATGCCAGTGCGCTTGCAGGGTGGCTGATCTGTGTAAATTTCTTATCTCAAGTCATTTAATTTGAAACTGAGTTCATGATTAAATATTCCAACAAACATTGAAGTAAAGATCGCCTTAATTTAGAAGGCAAGTGCTTTGGTGTCTTCCAATTTCATGCCAAGAACCCAGATCTAAAAAACAACACAAAAAAGGAAACTTCCTCAGTATTCAGATGCATTCCTCAGAAAACTGTTTTTTATCAAGCCCAATGTGACTCACTCTTTATGAGGAGTCCATTCAGAGCATCTTTGGCCCCCGGACCTCCACTCACCAATCAGCCATTGACTCGTGCCAACTACCCATGCAGAACACAGTCAAAAGCACTTATCACTAAAGTGCCATTTCTTCCTCCTTTCCTTCCTTCCTCCACAGCCTATTTCTTTCCAAAGACCATCCCACTTCTTTCATATTCAATTCTTCTCATATCGGAGTCATGGCCTCTCTTCCTTGTCCTTCACGCCAACATTCACAGGCTGACAACATATTTCCACAGGTCATAATCTTCCCTCCCTTTACCCACTTGTCCTATCGGTTTCTCTTCCTCCTCTCGTATAACAAGCCTGAAGCCTCCAGCTTTTCTGTTATCGTTAACATCTCATGCACAGAATTTTCAAGTACAACGCAAAAGGATGCGCACTTCATGTACGGCCTTCTCTTTCTTTGTCAGTCCTCAAAATACTGGAAAATCAAAAGTGAGAATGTATGTGTGCGAGAGTGGGCCTTTAACACCTTCATTTGCTGATGCTCAAGCCCCGGTTACTTCACATTTCAAAGGTGGCAAATGAAGAAACTGGCAAAATCTGAAATCGCTTTGGAGGAAATGGTTACAAATTATGGTCCTGCATATAAAAGGCGTCTTAAAAGAGGGGATGTGTGTCTTTGAGTGTGTGTGCTGTGGCGGGTTGGGCTGTCTATAGAGAGAGCACTCCAAAAGGGAATAAAGATGGCAAAAAGCAGCTTCACAGAATAAAGCAGGTGGGGAGTATCATTCATGGGCTTGACTGCCTGTTTGTGGCCGCACACAGAAGCACACACACACGTTTTTCTGTGGCTGTCTTCATGAGACTGTCTTCATATTTTCATAAATATCTTTTCCCCCCAAACCTGAACCATCACAACAGTCCAGCTATACCTCAATTGAACCTTTATCCCTAAACAATATTTAACCTCTCAAAGAGCAGCTGCAGAAAATGAGGACCACTTAAAATCTCATCACACTGATGTTTTGAACTAGCCCTTAGAAGAGGCCATGAATATGAATCAAAAGCAACCACAAAACACATTCTGATGCTACACAGTGGCTGAAATCCACAAGGCGGCAGCTGAAACTGTGTAGCAGGCTGTATTTCTGTGCAATATTCCGCGCAAAGGACTGCTATCAACACCTCTTTAGCTCATGTGAGGACACGTGCACAAAAACGCACGCAAATGTATGCAAATTGTCGTCTTTTTTTTTGCCTCCCCCCCTCCACGGTAGGGAGAGAAAACAAAAGCGAACAGAGCAACGAAAACAATTAGCCCAATCAAGGGTGACAGAAGGCAATTAGAAGTAAAAGGTTCAGGGTGCCAAAAAAGCCACTCCATTATGGAGAAATGTGCCAGTGGAGTGTGTTGCTGAATAGTTTGAAAAAACACGGCTCACCACGCAAACGCTTGAAAAGGTGTGCAAGGTGTGAGAAGCACGTCCCCCGAACTTCGGAAATCAGCAGCCCTATTTGGAGCTTTGAAATGTTTCCAAAAGAAACCATCAAGACACGGGAAGTCTGAATGAGTGGCTGCTTGGCGGCACACAGTGTCCTGGTGAATCGTTTTAAACGATTTACCTTTAACAAAGAAAATCCAGATAGAAACCAGTAACAGGTGCACATGTATTCCTCAACATTTCTGTACTCTTATGCATGTCAAAATACATGGCTTCACGTGATGATCCCTCTTCTCCAAACCGACGGCAAGGAGGCGTGCAGCCACTGCCCTAAGGAACATGAAGTCCAACCTGCTGACGAGGAATGAGAAATGTTGCCTGCAGAAACTACAAACTTCTCCTCCCGTGAAATTTTGTGTGACGATCACATCTGTCAGCGCCGCACTGCTGCCTCTTAATGTTCCTGTGTTTGATGACTCCCATACCACCGAGCTAATGCAAGATGGATGGAACAAGCCCCGTCACAGGAATACTCTCCAAGGGAAGAAGGAAACAAACTGCTCAGTCCAGTGAAGCGTCCTATCCCTGAGTGTGCCTGTGCGGCTGGGACTGTCACACTCCAGCGTACACGATGGGACGTTTAATGCGACAACCCCGAAATATTTCCAACAACCCACCAACTTCTGAGAGCAACTCTGAGAGCGCTAACTTGTGGACACATCTTAACCGTCTTCTCTTTTCGACTCACCTCAGGGATCCATAAGGCACAGCTGACGTGGACCCACTTGGTTCCACTCCGGGTGGGCTTGAGGGCCCCCCCTCTCTTGGGGCAGAGCAGGCATTTTGGCTGGACCCCCAGAGCACAGGTCCGACACAGCCAGTTCCCCTGCGGTACCTTCAGTATGCCGTAACAGGCCTGCGACAAGGAGAGACATTTATTCATGGTGAGCGAGACATGCATAAAGTGGTGACTTCTAACTTTATAAAAACTAAATTCCAACATTTTGAAGTTAGATTTTCCTTCACACAGAGTATTTGACCAGAGAGATGCCCTGATGGCATCTGTGTCTAACATTTAGTGGATGAATATGAGACATCGCCCATCTCATCTGAGTCTTCACAGGATCCGAAATGGAAGAGAGCTAAAATCAAAAAGACCCTTTCACGCTGAAGCACGCTAACTTCTGATCATAATCACTGGAAATTACAGTGAATGAGCAAACATCATCAAACATTTCCATATATTCGGAATAAGCCCCCCTTACTATTTAACAGCCAAGCCATCAAAAGTTGGAATTGAAGCCCGGCGCTAATGCGAGTTTGATCAGCTGCTGCTGCTGATCACAAACCATTTGATGGACCACTCTCCGTTTCTGGCTCGGCTCCATGCGGACTTCTCTGTGGATGCCTGCGTTCAGCCAAAAAGTATCACGCATGCATATATGCTGCGTGCATCATAGATCAACCGGCAGAAGAAAAAAAAAGGCCTGCTCTAAGTCTATGCGTGTGTACATTCTGATGAGATGGTGTAGGACAGGATTTACATTTTTTTCCATCTATTTCTCATTTGTTTCTTGTTCCTCACTCAAAGAGCAGATCAATAATGACGAGCAGATGGTGTTATTTCATCTTTCTGTTCCAACACAAATGAAAACACTCACAGACGCTTCTCCTCTCGCTGTTGTAAAGTCTGTCTTGCTGATACAAATGAGTGGAATGTGCTATTATAGATGAACTGCTCCAGCGGTAGAATATTTGGAATCACTTAATGTCAGCAATGTTGCAATTGGCCCCGACAAGCTAACTGGCTTAATTCCAGTCTAAATAAATAAATACACTTCTAAAATTGGCAGATGCACAATTTTCTGTTATCATGGAATTTTAATTCAAAACTGTTTTCAAATGTGACATGGCTGTTTCCATCTCAAAGCTCTTTAAAGTTGAGCTTATCGTCTTACCATGGCACAAAAGATTTATAAATAAAATAAATAATCTACCCAATGACAGACTGCTGTCAGAGAGACAGCATAAGGAAACTAAAAATGTACTAAATAAGACATTAAAGACTCTGTCGACACTAAAAGCAGTTAAAGAAAGCGCTTTACTGATCAAAGCGTTTCACAGATCAAACTCAGTGGCTTTGTGTGGAGTGCCGCCGGTTCACCTGCTGAAGTTCAGAGAGACCAGATAGTGCCGTGTGTGCTTGCTCTTTAAAGGCATTCCCATTACGTAACACTCAGGGGAGCCACAATTCTTTTGCCGCTTGTTACATTTTGTCTTTTTGGCACAGACCTCAGACCACAAAAAAAACCTCTCCAGCTTTGGACAACTTGTTATGTTTTCATGAGCTGATCCCCAAAATATTCGTACCTTGTGTTCTTCGAAAAATATGCTCAAGGGTTTGCATGCTAGAGGTGATGCGCCACCTTAAGAGACCAATGTAAGTATTTGATAAAAACAACTTTTTTCATTCTCCTGAAAAGTCCTAATCAGGTGAGACCTAGCAGCATTTGTTAACTGATTATCAGTTGAATTTCATGTGACAGACCAAGGTGGGACTTGGGAGGGAACCACTTCCACACTGTGGCAGCAGCAGGTAAGCAGGGCTGCTCTGATGACACTGAAGGTATGTTAGTACAAATGGGGCTGACACCATAATTAACACGGTGTGACACAGCAGAGCTGTGCTCCGGGCCATTCTGGCCTCTGTTTGTGAAAACGGCTACCGTGTCTGTGCTCTGACTCATCGGTGTGTTCGGCAGGGGCAGGGCTAACCTGATGAACACAGACATTGCACTTGTCGCAGAACACCATCTCGTTGCCGTCCTCTCCCTCTGGTGAGCGGCAGACGTCGCACACCACATCCTCGTCGTACTCGATGCCCAGGCCTTCCTCCGTCTCAATGGCCTGCTGCATCTTCTCCTCGCACACGCTCTCCAGCTCCACCAGAACGCACTCCATGGTCAGCTCGTCCAGCTCCGACAATGCTGGTGGAGAGAGAACACAGTTGTTAGGACGGGGATAATGGCCGCTCAACTTTCGATTTGTAGTTTCAGACATTAAATCAATCAAAATTTAAGACATCAAGTCCCAATCCAAATCGCATAGGACCCAAACCCACATTTGGAGCCTCGATTTCAGTTCTTCCCCATTTGGGATGAATTCTTTAGCAAACAGTGTTGCCTTTTCAACGTAGAAAAGCTGGAAGGTTAGCCCTAAAATGAAATGCGGAGGACTTCACAGCAGGGATCTACATCCCCCAACATGCGTTAACTGTGAAGCTAACACACATACGGGGGAGAATGGGCCTTTGTTCCACGTTGAAGACGCCTTCGCTCCACTACATTTTGAAATTAAAAGAGTGCTTTTTGCAACTTTGAATCCTTACATGGAACTCTCTCAAGGAAAAAAAAAAAAAGGCCAATTGGCACGAAGAGTTAGAGCTCTGTCAACGTTCCTGTTTCGTTTCCTTCTTGTTATCTACGGAAATAAGAGTATCTGGAAACTGCCTGTATCGCATTCAAAATTAATACAAAAAAACCCTACTGGAGTTGTTTTTGGCTCAAACACTTCACATCACACTTTAATTGGAAATGCACACCGTTTTCCTTTACATGTTTATCTCACAAGATTAATTTCTGCTTTCTTTGGGCCGACTTCTTGAGCAATGTGCTAAAAATGAGTCCCGCATAAGCATGTGGAGTTGTAGTTTACTCTTCAGTAAGCACAGAGATGCCGCACGTGCCCATTTGGAATCCTGGCAAAAGTAACTACATTTTCTATGAAGCCTTTGTTGCCCACAGCTCAGTTGGTCTTGCCAATGTGTGTTGACATGAGCGTTTGTTTTCTTTCTCTATTTGCATCTCCCAGTAAAGCCTTCCTCTAAGGCATGTTAATAGTTGATGAAGGCTGATTTCACAGGCAAATGCTAGTTTTCCACATCATAAAAAAAGAGAAGAATTTTGGGATAGCAGAAGTGTTGTGGTTTCCAGGATGGCAGCAAAATGGTGTGGATTATCATTCTCGTGCCGACTGCAATCAAGGAAAATGGGAAGCAGAAGCATTTTCCCAACATGATTTTTCAAGTGTGTGTAAGGTAAATGATTAGGGCTGCCAAACATTTACTGATAAAAACCTTTACTGATAAAAAAAAAATACAGTTATCAAATCACATTTCTGACGCGCTGCCACTTAAACGCCATCCTCACCAGACTCCCAAGCAGCAGGAAGGGAACTGCAGTCAGCAGTCGGGGATTATTTATTGATTTATCAGAGGGATTCAGCTCTCAGCTGGTTCTTTCAGAAGGGTTGAGCATCCCGGCTCGCCATTCTTTATTTACGTAATTTAATCTCTTCCCATGCAAAAATAAATAAATGACTACTTTATTTACTCTTTGAGGATTCTGTTGCCAGCAGGGTTCAAGTTCAACCTAATCAGCGGTTTCACATAACTTCCCAAACTTGAGCTGTCATGATGGGGGAAAAAAATACGAAAACGAAAGCCAGAATGTAATGCTGAAAACAAACTTTTAAGTCAAAAGTAAAAGAAGAAAATGGTGTGATTGTTTTAAAAGCTGCCTTTGATGCAACTGAGAAACAGGAAGTTGAGTTAGACGTTAAGCCATTTTAAATTTACACTTGTAAACTGGACAAAAGTTGTGTGTGCGAGCAGTGGACCACTTCAAGTACAGTTTCAGAAAGCAATGTACATATGCACATATTTATCTAACGTTGGAAAACTGCGATTGGCACACACACACAGCATTTAAAACTTCTTAATTAATGTTTTAGGAGTTAATACATTACCTGGATTATCAGAGTTTCAACAACCATTCGGTACAGAAAGGTTTTCACTGGTTATACTCGATCACAGGATAAACTAGAGGAAGAGCATTAACCTAAACTAGCTCCAAAATGAAGTCTAGGTGTTTGCTGCCTAAATCAAGCACAAGTTATGGTATTTCACTTTTTAAATTTCACAATTTCAATTTTTCCACCCTTTTCCCTAAATGTAGATGTTGAAGGGTTAAATACCTGACACAGTGTGAGGCTGAAGGTGTGTGTTCAGCTACTCAGACGCACCACAGGGGATATGATTCTCACTATTTCTCTTTTCCTCAATTACCTCAGACTGCCAGTTAAACTGAAATTCATATCTCACTATCTGACAAAAAACACCATTTAGGAAACAACTCAGGAAGAGATCTGTACAGTGATCACCAATAAAAATGAAAGCATACCTCCGTCTGGCAAACTGACTGACCATTTTCTAGCAAAATTTTGGAACAACAGTGAAACAGACAGAGTAGTAGACTGTGGATTTCATGAGCCGTGAGTCCCAGAATATACTTGCATTTGTTTATGTGTTGGTCTGTTTATGATAACCACTTCAAAGGGTAATCATGCAAAAGAATGCAAAATACAGGTGGCCAATAGAGGAAGGGGTCATATATGTAATATCCTTGACTTAGAAAAAAAAATGTAGATGGCAGCAAGTACAGCATTTCCTAGCGTGATCTGTAGTCACGGCAGCGTGGTTCCATGGTGGTAAGCACTGTCGCCTCACAGCGAGGGGCTTCCTAGTTTGAATATGTTACCTACACTGTCCAAAAACATGCAAGTTAGGTTAATTGAACTGTCAAAATTGCCCCTATGAGTTAATATGAGAGTGTGTGCTTCTTTGTCTCAGCGTAGCCCTGCAATTGACTGGTATGGAATAATCAGTATGGACAATTCTGTATTATCTGAGTACAGTGGCATGCTCGCCCCACCCCCATCTCCGCCGCCCC